CCTTTCCTTTCTTCTCCTTATTCCTCTCTGACACTTGGTATGACTCATCATCATCTTCATCTTTGGAACTACTTGATATGCTTGATGATGCACTTGTTGCCTTCTCTTCTTCTTCCTCCTTCCTAGCTTCTCTTCTTTTTCTTCTTGCTTCTCTCTTGAGCCTTCTTTCTTCTTTCCTTTGCTTCTTCTCCTCTAACCACTGCTCCTCCTCCTTCTCTCTTGCTTCTCTTTTTAGCTTCTTGTCTTCTTTCTTCTTATTATCTCATTATCATTAAGAGCTCTTTCAGCATCGATAGCCTTAAGATGTGGTAGTGTGGTGTTGCTTGCTGTCGACACGCTCAGCTTGCTGATGTCCGTGTCGACATCCACCCGCTTCACGCCACTAGTTTCTCCTCGGGGCTCCATACCTCACACGGTGAAGCGTATATGAGGTAACATGCTCTAATACCACTTGTAGGATCTCTAGTTGGCCTAGAGGGGGGGTGAATAGGCCTGTCAAAACAAACACTCAAACTTTTATCAAATTCACCCTGCGGCACTGTCACTCTGGAGAGCAGCACTGCCGGACTAGAACAGCGGCACTGCCGCACCTGCAGACAACTTCGAGTCACAGTTCAAAATCAGTGTAAGGAAACTTAGATCGAAAAAATTTCTCAGCCTACTGCAGGTATGATAGTCACAGATCAAAAGTTAGAAGTTGTAGAAACACCACACACAAGTAGATCGACTAGAAACCCTAGAAATTACCTCAACAACAATATGACATGCAAGTAATGTAAATCAAGCACAAGAGACATAATGATTTATCCCATGGTTCGGCTCGCCACCAAGGCTTGCCTACGTCCACGTTGTTTAGGTTAGCCACTAAGGCTTAGGGCTTTCCAACCCTTCCTCGTCCTAAAGTCAAGACACTTAACTCTTGAGATGAGGGGTGAGTTTACTAGCTTCAAGAGATGGTTACAGACCTCCCGGGGCTGCCACACAAGTTGGCAAACTCCATGGGCGACACTCTAGCCTGCTAGGAGCCAAGCACCAAAAGTAACAAACACAACCACCGGCAAAAACATGAACAAAGTGCTCTTTTAAGTTGAGGAATCAATGGAGCTGCTCTCTAATCGAGTTTTGAACCCTTTTCTCTCAAGGATTAATAGGGAAATCAATGGATTTGCTTGATGGCTCAAGGTCAACAATGGAGGGAGAGAGAGGATGCTCTTTTTTGTTTTGGACGAGCTGGAGTGAGGAAGAAGAGGCAGAGAGCCGTTGGGGAGAAAGGGGAAGGGTATAAATACCCTCCAGCCCCCAACGGTCAGTTAAGTCACGGCAGTGCCTCTCTTCAATGGTGCCTCTCTTCAAGTGCGGCAGTGCCACACCACGCAAGACAGCAAGGATAAAAGTGAAGTGTAGACTGTCTTGACTGTGAATCTGAGGATGCGTGTGTATGTTTGAGCACTTGGTAGCACATATTAGATTAAGCATTGTGTCCCCCTTTATAGTACGACTTTTATTATACTCAAATTCAAAATATAAAAAAATTTAAACCTCCTTTGAGTTTGAAGTCATCAACATTTGCAATTGGAGATTCATCCGTTTCGTGTAGCATCCTCAAATATAAATTCTCTGTTTGTCATCTCGATAAATCTCATTAGTTCTCTAATTATGTGGTCATTATCACCAAAACTCACAATTAGGGCTTGATTGCACTTTCTAGAAATGTTGTGAACTTGTAACTAGTTGTAACTGATCCTGAAAAGAATTCCAAATAGATTCTTTCACTCTACCACACATAGATCTTCTGGATGCACAGCCAAGAGATGCAAAGAAATCAAATGATACGACAGCTGATCAGCTACTGCATAAATCTCGCTTGAGCTTTCATGTCTAATGTCTTCTACTCCAAATTCATGGATGCTGTTGTTTATTTCAATTGAACTAACACCCATATCCTTTCTCGTCCCCCACTCTTTCATTAATTTCCTGAGCCTTTTCATGTCTTCCCACTGGTGAGTTTCGTATAACAAGTTTGAAATTAGAACAAACAGACCTCCACTGATGCCCTCCAGTTCAAGTAATTGCTTGATCACTTGCCTGCCAATCTCGACATTCCCATGGATTCTGCAGGCTCCCAGCAATGCACCCCAGACCACAACATCAGGCTTCATTGGCATCTCTTTTATTAGACAAACAGCCTTTTCAAGATGGCCACGTCGGCCAAGAAGGTCAACCATGCAAGCATAATGCTCAACTTCATGCTTAACATTGTAAACATGTCTCATAGATTCAAAGTAATGCTGTCCAGTTTCTAGTAGACCCCCATGACTGCATGCAGAAAGAAGGGCCACAAAGGTAATCCCATCTGGCGAGAAGGAGTCTGTTACCATTGATCTGAAGAACGTGATTGTATCCAATGCATGACCATACATTGCCAGCCCCCCAATAATAACATTCCAAGAAACTACATTTCTATTGCACATTTCACTGAACAGGCTGATTACCGTGTCTACCTGACCACATTTTGCATACATGTCGAGAAGCGAATTAACTAGAGAGACATCAGGATTATAGATATTGTCTCTAATATAAAGGTGCACCGTCTTCCCTACAGTCAAGTCGCCAATTCGCCCACAAGCAGAGAGGACAGCCACTAAGGTAATCTCATCGGGAGCAAGACCCTGGGATTGCATTTGGTTATAAAGATCCAAAGCTTCATGGCATTGGCCACGTTGAACATAGCAAGAGATCATGGCATTCCATGAGACTATGTTCCTCTCTGGCATGTGGTCAAACCAGCATCTTGCAGCATCAACTGATCCATGCTTTGTCTGAGCACAAAGCATGGACGTCCATGAAACAACACTCTTGATGGGCATCGTTTCAAAGCATTTACGAGCCATCCACAGATCCCCGCACTTACCGTACATGTCCACCAAAGCGCTTTCAAGAATTAGATCAACCCGAGATCCACTAACCAACATACGACAATGCACAAGGCAACCAATTTCAAGGCTCTCTCTTGTGAGCAGGCCAGAAGCAGGCTGGCCAGTGTGAACTCATCTTCCAAGAACCCTTGACGCCTCATCTCTCCAAACAAGGCGCACGCCTCTCTAGTATCCCCCGCCTGCGCGTACCCACTGATCATCGAGTTCCACGACACAACATTCCTGCCCACCATCTCATCAAAGAACCGCCTGGAGTCCCCCAGCGATCCAGCCGACGCGTAGGAATGTAGAAGCACGTTGCCCACAAAGACCTGCCCCACAAGGCCAAGCTTCAGAGCGACGCCGTGGACGGGCAGCGCGTGCTCCCACGCCTGCGCTCTCGTGCACGCCTTGACGACGAACGGCAGCGTGAACTCATTGGGCAGGAGCCCTCGCCTGAGCATGCCCCGGTGGAGGCGTAGTGCTTCCCGCGGGCAGTCACTGTTGCAGTAGGCTCTGATGATGGTATTGTACATGACCCTGTCCGGGTCAGGAATTCCGTCGAACAGACGGCGCGCGTGGCAGAGGCGACATACCCGGCGTTGGGCGAGACCGAGAGGGCGCAGTAGGAGGCGAGGAGGAGATTGAATGCGGCGGACAAGGATCCGTGGACGAGGAGGTGGGCGTGGAGCTGGTTGAGGCGCTGGATGGAGCGGCACTTGCGCAGCAGCTTCTGCAGGGACGGGAGATGGTGGCCGGCGGGCGCGGGCGTAAGCATCGAAAGGCGAGGAAAAGCGACAAAGCAGTTTGCGTTTGTGAGGTGTGGGAAAACCCCAGCCCATGGGCCACGAATGATTCTTACTGGACCCTGGACCAAAAACTGCTTTACATATCCGCAAATGGCGAGCGCCAAGCATCACAGTTCACAGGTGCACAGCGCGGGCGGAGCAGCATGAGGCTGTTCGGGAAACACGTGTTCCCGAGGCAGATCGCCCTGTTCGCCGCAGGGTAGGTACCTCCTCCGTCGTTCTCCTATCGATCTCTCCTCAATTGCAGCCGGGCGGCGGCCGGCGGTGGCCGGCGGCGGCGTCATCGCTGAGGTGCATGCTCGATTGAACATGAACTGCAGGCTGGTGTTCTTTGGGGCGACGACGTACGACGTGCACCGGTCCATCAAGAACAACGAGCAGCCGCCGACCAGGGAGCAGATGGAGGCGCTCCAGGACTACATCAACTCCAAGAAGCGAAGCAGTGAGGCCGGTGAAGAATAAAGATCCGTGCTTTATGCGAAGCTGATACATATTCATCATTTGCTAGGTGTGTATGCTCGCAATAAGATCGGATCAGGTGGGGGCTGAAAACAAGTAGGTGCGTGCTATATGTTCGACGATATTCCCATGAGGATTTCTGGACTGTAAATGAATCAGTAAATGGCTTCGACGATATTCCCACGAGGAGACCATAAATAAATCAGTAAATGGCTGTGTAATTATGAGGCTGTAATTGGGCATCTTTCGAGAGAAGCATGGCGGAGCGCGACCCTAGGTTGGGTGTAACCCGGCGTCCTTGCCACAGATCTTGTTTAGATGCACTCATATGTTTCGAGAGAAGCATGGCGGAGTGCGCGACCCCTGGGTTGGGTGCAACCCGGCGTCCTTGCCTCAGACCTTGTATGGATGCACTCATATCCATCTTAATCCATGTGTGTTGGAGTAGATTGGGATAAAAATTTATTTTAAGTTCCACCTCAATACACTCCAACACACGTGGATTAAGATGAATAGAAGTACATCAAGCAAGCCCACAGCAGGTTTGTGCCGGGGCCAGGGGCCATCGCGACGCCGGCACGCGGCGGTGGTGGACGCAAGCAAGCAAACCCACAGCGAAGAACTATACTATGATATTCGGCCATTTATACATGTAGATATATATCTCACTTATATAACCAATGTATATAATAATAATTATATATATAGAAACATCTCAACCAAGTGTAGCACACTATTTCCTATTACAGTGTAACTTTATATTCATAAAAGGAGCGGAAGGTAAAATTTATTAAGCATCCCAAAATTCCAACCGATGCTAAACAGGCTCTCCAACGATCATGGTCCACCAATCTTGGACATGAACCTTTTCTTTGACCTCAGCTGAAAAATCAGATGGCACAGGTTAGATGAGAGAATGACCAAATGTGCTGATAGTAATAATTGAAGTATGACTGCAGATCAAGTGTGCAGAGCAGTAAACTCATCGTCAGTTAAAAGTCTATCTTGCTATATAGATATATACGATGACTGGAAAAGCCAAAAAAAAACGATCGCCTAATATAAAACAAAAAACATGAGACAACAACAACAATGGTTGCCTAATCTAGGAACGAAGGGGCAAAGCCGCAAAAGTACACTTGGATGACCCGTAAACGCGACCAACTATTCTCACGAGTAAATTAATCTGAAAGCATGACTACACACAGCAGCGATGCCAATGCAACAACCTTGACAGTAATTCCGAAACAAAGTATTGTATATGACGACTGAACAAGCCTAGAAACATGCATGGACAGCATTAACATCAACTAAAACCAATGAGCATGAAAGATGATAGTCTATATATAACGATTGATCGTGGTATATAACAAATAAAGTTATTGGATGAACACAAGTGAAACTGATGGATTCTCACCGCGTTGGTGTGCCCACACTTCTTCTTGCGGCAGTTGGTTACCCTGAGGGGAAGCCGTGCATAGCACCTGCAGGAGAAAAGGCGGAGGATCAAAGTTAGGGATCGTATGCGCAGAGAGCTTGGATCAGTACTTGCATTGAACGAAACGATCGAACGGGATCATCAGTAAGTAATAATAAAGGCGTGTGTGTATATATATATATATATATATATATATATATATATATATATATATATATATATATATATATATATATATATATATATATATATATATATATACAAGTACGTACTTGCGGCAGACCATCTTGTTCTCGTTGTACTTCTGCGCGAGCTCGCGGAGGCTGGGCTCGATCCCCTTGGGGTAGCCGCCCCTGCTGCCACCGCGGAGGCGCAGCACCAGGTGCAGCGTCGACTCCTTCTGGATGTTGTAGTCGGCCAGGGTGCGGTCGTCGTCCAGCTGCTTTCCGGCGAAGATGAGGCGCTGCTGGTCCGGCGGGATGCCTTCCTTGTCCTGGATCTTCGCCTTCACGTTGTCGATGGTGTCGCTGCTCTCCACCTCCAGCGTGATCGTCTTCCCCGTCAGCGTCTTCACAAAGATCTGCATCTTGCTGCCCACGTCGCGTCGACTCACTCTCCGCTCCGTTTGGGTTCGTGGCGGTACGAGGTTATCGAATCCAGCTATTGACGGAAGGACGTGCTCTCTACCCGCTTTATATAGGGAGGAGGTGACTTGCCGGCTGCGAAACCTATCAGATAATTAAGTTATTCCGATCACAAAATAAAACGAAATTTCCTATAGCGGGCAGGAGTGTACGTGACTCCTACGAAACTGATGGAGATTTTTTTTTTCAAAATTACTAATACTAATGAGTATATACTACCTGCATAGTTGGCCCAATATGTCAAGCCTCCGAGAATTAGAGGTCCAAGATTTAGTCTGGGCTGATCCTAAAGATACACAAAAGCTCTTTTTGGTTGACACAATTACATTTGGGGCTCTTGTCTTCTTCCTCATTTATTTAACTTTTTTGTGATTTTGCCCATACTTTTCAAAACGAAAGCAGAGTTTACCGATATATCATTTAGAGGAGTTAACATTGTAAGTTCAACGAAAAAATACTAGTTTTCCAACGTGAATTTGCCCCTGTATTACTATTACTATGCAACTTTAACATCGAATATTCAGACAATATTTTAAAAGAATTTTATATGAAAATTTGCAAATATTTCAAATTTATTAAGCAAAGTTTAACAAGTTGATCATGCTTAATTAACCATAAGATAAATCCTAGGGGGTTACGTTAACGACTGGGTTTAGTATTATCTTTTGATTTTTTTATTTTTATTTAATTTGTTTATTTGACATTAATCTAGCACGATCTAAAACAGGAGGACGGTGACTTCAGATTCAAAAACTGAGGGTAAAACCGTAAAGTTGAAAAAAAATGATTGCCCTTAAATAGGGGCAAGAACACCAATCTTCCTTTTATTTACAACCTACCACCTTAATGTTTTAGGCAAATTGGGATGCAGATCTTTCATGGCATTCCATGTCTTCTCTTTTTGTCCAATATATATTTTTGAAATGGACAATATATTTTTGCCTGCGCAGCATCTGTATTATGGACCGCACGGTTAGGCCCATTGAACGACTGTTTGGGCCAACTAATTGGGTTACATGTCCTTTGTGCTTCATTTGCTTGGGCCGGCACTAACGTAACGTCTCCGGCCCAGAAATTTTCTTCGCGGTTAGACAGAAACATTTCTTTTTGTCAAGGGAAAAAAATAAAATCTGAACGTGGAAAGTCACTCTGCCTCAGGATTCAAATGTGCGTCCCTAGGTGCTACTCCTGCCTACTGGTACACACGAGCAGGCGATTACGATATGCTGCTTCTAAAATCTTATTAAGCAGCAGCTGGTCTGGTACCCACATGGTCCGTTGTTTTGTTCCCAGTTGCCACCAACATTGCGTGATGTGTTGTTATCTAAAAAACAAAAACAAAAACATTGCGTGATGTGTGGACATGAAAACACGTAGTACTGTAGGTAGGGCAACTGCACGAGGCATATTGCGTATCAGCCGTCCCTTCCACAGGTTCCCCTCTATAAAACATTTTTGGGCAACGAGGAATGGAAGGCCAGCGTTCCTGCAATTCGTACATCCAATGCTGCTGCTGTACACAAACAGGCTTCCTCCTGCCCGAGCCATATATTCCTTGACCTTCTTTACATTCCTACTCCTACACAAAACACAATGCTCGGCCGACAGATTGGCATATCGTTAGATAACGTAAAATAAAGCTCGTTTCGGAAAGCGTAGTGTATATATCGTGAAAAAAGATCCGGTTGCTTTCAACCACACAAGCATAAACAATCTCCGGCTTCCTCTGGGACAAAGAGTACAATTGCATCATCCAGGCACCCGGCATTTAGCACTTAGCAAACTCTCTGTCTGTGCTGAATAAACTAGAGCCTGGGACTGGGAGAAAGAAGCACGCAAGGTTATCTCAATATCCGTCTGAGCTGACGTGGCATTTCACTGGAATTTTGGGCTAAATAAGTACACTTAGATTTCAACAGGATCTTGTAGACGACACGGACTGATGAGCGGAAACTCTCCCTGTAACTACTAGCAAAGAGCGCTGACAGCGCACAGCGCAGGCATGGCTGTTCCCGTGTCTGTAGGGAGAACACCAGCACAGGCATATCTTTGGTGAGCTCATGCTATGATCCTTCACAGTGGCAAATGGTAAATGGTGCCATCTGTGGTACTCCCTAAGGCCATCAGGAATTTCAATTTTTCTTTGGGCTACCAAACCTTACAGCTCTGCGACTAAAGACGGTGTTTGTATCTTTTTTTTTTACAGAAATGTTTATTAGATCCATTTTCTGTATTCAGCAGCTAGCATTTTGCACATTTAGATCATGTTTGACACATCTTCATGAGTTGTTTAAAGCTATTTTGTGCTAAACAAGTCTTTTACAAACAGCTCCACAGGTGAAACTCCTGAAAACCTACTCTCACAAGAGGTGGATGAAAGTGAAAATAGTGGCTACCAGCTCACACTCGCATCGGTGGGCCTAGCACGCACATAGGCAGCATTTGCCCCTGCACGGAGAGGGAGCGCGCGGGCTCAGCCGCCGGGGTGCGGGCACACTAGCACATCGGGAAGAAAGACATGAGAAAGAAAAGATTCGAGAAGAAAGAGGTTGTGGTGAAGGAGACGAGGAAGAAAGAGAGACCATGGGAAATGACATTCTTTTTTCTATTATGAGAAGTTTCGCCAAACGACTCATCAAAATAGCTTCAGCTCTATCGGTAGAGCTGTTTATGGAGTTGAAGCAAAAGAAAACTGCTTCACTAGTGAAGTTGAGCAGCCGAGTAAGTGACTGAGTGGCACAACATTATTAATTAGGCCAATCAAGGCAACTACGACAAAAACATACGCTGTATGCAAGAGGGTCACCCACTACTGTATCTTATTCACTCTTACTCTTTTTAGTATAATATAGTTATATATATCTAGTGCTTTGTATACATGCCAAAACTGAGTACAAGAAATATACCACCACGGCACCACCACATGCCAACCATGTATTACTATTGATGCATGTGGCCTGACCAGAAATTTGTACATCATTCACTGCTATGTACCGAAGGTGACAGAGACCGTTCTGTGTTAGGCTGGAGTAGTGTCTCTGTCTCTCAGCCTGAGAAGAAGAGGGGGCACCAGTGATCTCAGGTACGCCTTGGGCAGCGCCATCAGCTTCTTCGTCTTTGGAACGTAGGCCCTCCTGGTGAAGTTGTTGTAGTCGTTGGCCTCGATCTCGTCGAGGATCTGCCGGTACAGGAGCAGAGAAGCCCACACCTGAAGAAAACAGCAGTTGCAGCATGCAGGCTGTTCAATCATCTGAATTCTGAGAACAGCTAGCCTAGCGTTGTGATACTCCTACAGTACCGAAGAAATGAAATGGCCAGGCAAATAAAGATGGTGATCAGTTGATGTGTGATGTGTGTGTGTGTCTCACCGGCCATCTGCTCTCCTGATCGAGCTCGGTGGCGCCTTCCTCAGCCTGCCTGAAGAAGGCTCTGGTCCTGGTGATCTGGCCCCTCATGAAGCTCCTCCACTCGTCGGTGACGCGGCCGTCCAAGATGTCAGCGTCGGAGAGCCCCGCCATCTCCAGCTCGTCCTGCGGGAGATAGATCCGTCCCCTTCTGGCGCTGTTATTTGTTGGCACACGTGAAGCACACGCATGGCATGTGTAAGTACACAGTGTATGTATGTATATATGGGCGAGGACGGACGCTGACATCATATTCATATCGGACGGACAGTGATGACGTAGTCCTCGCCGACGTCCCGGAGGATGTTGGTCAGCTGGTTGGCCAGGCCCAGCGCCAGCGCCCCCTTGTAGACCGTCTCGGTGGCCGCCCTGGAGTCCGGCGAGATGCCCATCACCGGGACGCTCATCAGCCCCACGGTGCCGGCCACGTAGTAGCAGTAGAGGTACAGCTCGTCGAAGCTCCGGTACCGGGACTTCTTCAGGTCCATGCGCATCCCCTCGATCATGTCCCTGAACGGCTGGATGTCGACGGGGAAGTTGGCGACGGTGTCGGACAGGGCGACGTCGAGCATGTCGTACGGGCGCCCGGCGAAGATGTCCTCCAGCCGCGACTCCCACCGGTCCAGCGCCACCGCCGAGATGTGGGACGCGTTGGGCCCGTCGACGAGCTCGTCCGTTCTCCTGCACCACACTGAACACGCACGCAGAGATGGAACAGGAACACCACGTCAGCGATCCATCACTGTCATCCCTTCCCTACTGGTCAATCATCAAGGAAAAACCATCGTGCTGGTGCATAAACTAATCTAGCTCATCAGAGTGTAAACATTTTATTACACCGCATGCTTAGCCATGGTTTACAGTTTCCACGTTTCCACGGCATGGTATGAACTGGATTTCTAGATGACAGCATCAGCAAGTATCGTTTCTGCGTGTCCTACGCTGCAACAAGTCGTCGTCTAAAGGCGGTTTACTGTTCTACTACCATTCAGAAAACGGAAGGAACCTTTTGCACCGACTGTCAGGTGTCAACTGCAGACGGTACAAGAAACAGGGACATGCGGGGCTTGGTCTGCTTGCTTGCTTACCGTATATTGCCCAGATTGCCCTCCTCCGCTCCGGCGTCATCAGCCGCGTCGCTGCAACAGAAGAACAGCGGCATCTCATCAGATCAGAGATTCAGAGGTCAGGCACATGCATGTGCGCACTGATTGTCGAAGCTGACTGGTCGGTATTCGGTATGTGGTGTCCACAACTACAACTACGGCCTCGTTCACGTGGCGTCATCAGCCGAACGCTGAACTTGATTCGTTTTTTTCTCATCAGATCAGAGATTCAGAGGTCTCACATGCATTCCGCACTGATTCCTCGAAACCATCCAGGTATTCGGTTCCAAATTCACACTACTGGAAAAAAGTCATTGCCCATGTAGTATGATTATCATCTCGATGCATGCGTCCAAGACCGAGTTCTCTCATGTGGAAAGTCATCTCGACTTCTCATGAGCATGCTGTCAATTTTTTTACAATCACTGTCATAGTTAATCAAATTAAGTATACTAGCCGATGCAGTAAGCAAATTGAAAAGGCAGGTGTTGGACTTGGACAGTCGGTTCAGGCTATATGGGCGTGATTGGTTGTTTTGGTGATGGAGAACTGGTATGGAGAGACAATCCAGGATTGTGAGATGCATGCTCAAATCGTGCATCCAGTCATGTTTGGTTGTCTTTGTTGTTGGTCCAGTACGAGATGTGATCTTATTTGTTTGCATACATGGATAAGAGTTTTGAGTGTGTGACATGGACCCTTATATCATGGGTGCATCGTGTTGTCTCAGCTTGGAAATTGAGAAAACAGCCGTCTTGTGAATGGTGGAGGGCATGGAATGAAACGGCAAGCAAAGCGCAATGCGGTGATTAAGTCAACACAACAGAGGAATAAGTTAAAGCAGGCAAATGGTGCAAGGATGGCCTGGTTGGAGCAACCAATCAGCCCCTATATGTATGAGTGAGATTTTCATCCTTTGCCTATTGTCCTTTTTAGGCCTTTTTTTTACTTTGTTTAATCAGCTTACAAGAAAAACACACTACTACTTGTGAGGTGACACATGCATGTGTGCCTCGATCACGGCAAAACCTTTGTGATTAAGTCACTAAACTAGACTATATTCAGATGAACAAGAAGAGTAGCGGCCTGCTTGAGCACGACCTCGTGCACCCTCTGCTCGGACGGCACGGCGAGCGCGTCGTCCCCGGGCGCCGGCGCCGCCACATGGAGTCCCCGCAGCGGCAGTGCCGGCGCGGGCGCGGCGGCGCCCCACGGCTCGGCCTCGAGGCAGCCAATGGTGTTGGAGGATCCCGCGGCGCGCACGGAGCACGGCGCCACGCCGCGGCCTCCTCGCCACCGCCTCCCGTGCCTGGCCGAGAACGTCGCCGTGCGGGTCGGCGCGTCCACGGGCCACCGAGCCGCGCGCGCCGGCGACTTGCCCGCGTGGCTAGTGGACATCATGGCTGGCTGACACGCGGCGATGGCATACGTGCTCGGTCGCAATGGAGAGACGCGGGTGGATGTGGATATATGTATGGAGCGGAGGAAGGTGGTGACCAGGCCGAGCTATATAGAGAGGGATCGAGAGAGCAGAGGCGGGCGGGGGCTGGAGGTGAGAGACTGAGAGCTGAGAGGTGACAGAGTGAGGCCAGCAGGCGACAGGGTTCCCGTCAGTTTTGTCCGTTGCCTGCAGGACACTGGCCGAGTACTACAAAAACTCAAAACTAGCCCTCTCCCCTGTGGCAGGTGACCGGCCACTGGTTTTCGGATTCCAAACCGCGAGTTCCAAAGCGGCGAGATGGCAGAGCCAGACTTGCTCGTGGCGGCTCCCGTGTTGGCCGCGCGCGCGGGAGGAGTGGAGGACACCCCCAACCCACGAGCCTCTCTACTCTCTAGCTAGGCGAGATCGATCGAGGAGCACGGATGACAACCACAGCTGCGTGCACTCTCAAGCTCAAGCTACTCTACGCACGCCCAAGGCATGGCGGGCCTTTTGTAATGCGGAATTGGGGAGCCGCGACGCCAGGTGGCGGGCGTTGGCAGGGGGTGTTCCTGTCCAGGACGAGGAGGGCGCTCTTCGCCCTTCCGTGGTTCACTGGTTCCTGAAAGTGGCAGGTGAGGCATTTCGCCCGGCACTAGCAGGCATGGCATTCGCAACCAGACAAAACGGCGCGCGTGGAAAGGTTCAGACGGTGTCCTGGTGGAGATGGCAACTCCGTTTTCGTATGTTGGCAGATGACTTGTGTCATTGTGTGATGTGCTGTGGCGGCAGAAGTAGTTTTGCTTATCTTGCGAAAACCGTGCTACTCCAGTCTCCTGTACCTGAGAGCAAGCATCACCAGACCATCAGCCTGTTCGTTTCGGCTGAATTGGCTTATAAGCCATGACTGAAAATACTGCTGGCTGGTTTGTGTAAGAAAAACACGATTTAAATCGTGGATTATAAACCAGATACGAGCGAATAACCCAAAACGCTGCATGCGCGTAATAGAAGTAGTACTCCTTACTTAGTATCCTAGTAGTAAAATATAATCATCACGCGTGTAATCTCTCTGGTCTAAGTCAACGATGTATTCGAGTATCCCGCCGACCATGATCTCTCTCCTTACCATGAGCTCTCTTTCTTTCTTTCTTTCTTTCTTTCTTTCTTTCTTTGCAGCAACCGGTGCTACGTAACGTAGTAGTAGCTTTCTATCATCCGTCCGTGGGAGAGGTTGCACGCGTCGAGGTGATGTGGCGATGGACGTCGTAGTGCGCCAGTCGGCAATTCACTCACGTGACATTTGTTTATGTCTTTTACTAGCGAGACCATACTGTAGATTGCTATGCGGGCCCAAGGCCCCAAGGAACACCAACAAAGACTGAACTGGCTTTCTACCCACTAGGCAACGACTGCTGAATCTGGAAATCCGATGTGAAGACGAGGCGGACAAGAGGCTCATGAGCTTCATTTTACAGGACAGGAGAACATTCTAAGCAAACCGCTGTCCTGTCAGTGTAACTGCTGCAAACGCAGGGAAGCTCCAGTCCGGGCGAGCAGCGAGCCAGCGACAGAGCAGCGTGGCACTGCCGGATAGTACATAGATTCAATTTTCTTTTGGGGCCACGGAACACACGGATGAAGGTTGGAGCAAGGGACACATGACCGGATTGTCAGGGGAGATGAAAACAAACTGCATGCTCATAGAGTCGCGGCGCGGCTGGCCAAGTGCCAAGTTGCGGCGCGAGTTCAATCCGCAGCCCCAGAAGGCCAGAACCCCATGTGCATCCGATGTGAAATATCGCCGCAATATACTAGTAGCAATCAGCTAGCAGCTCCAGGAAGCGATAGCACGCAAGGGAGTCCTGGAACCACTTGAGACGTGACTAGTACTAGTAGAGAGAAATTTTCTTTTCCCATGCAGGCGTATCTCGGCTACTCGGCAAGATCCCCAGCCCCCCGTTGCTTACTCAGATTTTGGAACAGCAAGGCAGTGGATGAAATGAATATGGTAGATGCTCATACCGTCCAGATCAAGAAGGCGGGTAGCACTTGAGCTCCTAAGCTGTCCACCCAGAACAATTGAATAAACTCTAGTCTAGTATAATTCAAGAGTTCCTTTCACTCATTACCAAAAAAGAAGGGGTGTCGTTGTCTGCACAGACGATTTGCCTCTCACTGACTGAAACACCCAAACTTCTCTCCAACTAAATAGAATAACATACCTTCAGGGTTCCATTAGCATTCATCTGATTCCGATCATCCAAGCCGTGAACCAACTGCACTGCATGCCAACCTGAAAGAGAAACAGCAGCGCTCAATCTACGCAATGGATAGCATCTCTTTGACCTTCTGTTACACCACCTTTTTCATGATGATTCCTACATGAAGCTTCAAATTATTGGATGCCGACATTGATTGAGCAACACGAAATGAGTAAACTCGACCAAGATATTATTATTTAAATAATAACGGGTAGATGATACTGATGCAAACATTTAAAAAGGGGAAATGATACAATTTGGGCCTACATTTGTGGAAACTCAAGCACTCAGTTGGAAATAAGGAGCACAGCCACGAGAGCTTGTTCATCCATGTACAGACCACCCTAATCTGAGAAGAAAATATCTAGGGGTTATCAATGGAATTAATCAAACACATTTCACGTTCAGGTACAGTTGGGTAGCTGTTCCCAGCTTGGTACATCAGCCGTGTGAACAAAAGCCTCCTCCCATACTTCTAGTGGTATTTACTGAAATGGCTACAGTCTGCCCCTTTGAAATTAGGCATCAAAACTTCAACAGTGCTTCCAACAGGCACCTATTTACGACTTTCAAGACTGAAAATTGAATGACTTCGTGTACAGTGGAGAGGCTCCAAACCAGAGTGCCTTGCAACATCTGAGATTTCAGGCTGAAAGGTACCGTTGCCTGATTTGTTGGGAGAGAAAAACATTGTTCGTTTGCTGAAAAAGTACGGCTCATAAGACAAACGAACAGGGCCAAGCGTAACCCCCTACCATGTGAGAAGCGAAGTTTTAGAAATATCTGGAAAAATATATTTAGATCTGAACCTTATTTCTCCATTTTAGTTCTGTCAATAAGTACACCATCAGCCCAAACTTCAATCCACCTGTAATCATGATCAATGATGAAGTCAAGTCCTCCTTTTCGGTCAAAATAATATACAGATCATGTAATGTACTCTTTCTGGAACACATGGAACAAAATAGCCGAGAGAAACCTTGATCCATTTGCATCTACCAACAGGCTCTCCCCATGGCGCCATCCATTTTGGAAATGGCCAAAGAAGATACTCCCATCATTGGCATAAAATCTACCCTCGCCATTTGCCTTCCCCTTCCAAAAATTTGCAAACCAGCGGTCACCGCTGTGAAAATAGTACCAGCCCTAGATTGGGGGTCGGGGGGTAAGTCAATAAATCAGACCTTTTTTCGTCAAACAGAAAGTAAATCACATGGAGTGTAAAGAGTGTTACATTGTCCAACTTGATACAAAATAAATGTTCAGAATTTGCAGCTTGAATAAGTTAAGGGTGCTTGGATATTTCATGGCTGGATTACAATCAAGAATTCAAGACAAACGGTCTTTGTATAAAAGATGCCAAATAAATAAAAAAATCCTGAAGAAATAGCTCTAAGCACATGACAATCATGCTTAATAGGTATATAAATTAACAGCAAATCTGAAAAGCAGTCTGCTAGTGTTTCCATTTCACAGCTGCGATGTGCAAGATGAAAGCAACTGTAACATACTGCCATACCTTTCCATGAATAAGGTCATCCCTCCATGTCCCATGATATACATCACCGTTACTGTGAAATAGAGTCCCCAAACCAGATCTCTTACCATACCTCCAGAGTCCATCATAAAAGCTTCCATCACTGAAGGTTAGACGCCCCTGTAATGTTTAGCAAGGTAAGATTGTTGGATTTGCCAGATAAGTTGGATAGAACATGTGATCCGATTTCACCTTTCCTTCAGGGACACCTTCTTGGCATCTACCTCTATAAGTTCCCCCTCCATAATGTATTTCAACTATGGGGCTCCATGTCTTTTCTGGTTCTCTTTCTGCATCCTACAAGGAAAATGATGGATTACAGAATCTAAGGCCCATAGAACATGCAGATTCATAACAAAGAGACACAAGTGTTTTCCAAATTCTGGCTGAAATGAAACTTTTTTTCCTCCAGAAAAGTAGAAACAGAAAAACAGCACTAACGACAAAGTTAAATCTTGAGCTAATTGTGTTTGCATTGACATCATGTGAGGATTTTTTATCACACCAGAAAAAGGAGTTAACAGAAGACACCTTGATAAAACATCTAATTAGTACATAACACCCTAGATGCACAAATGTAACTGAATGGAAAACCCATCTTAATACCACAAGAAAAGGGAGCTACTGAGCTAGCTATGCACATGGAATGGATGAGGGAGGCTGCAAAACATTATGAGTAGCTCCAGAGGAAACTACGAGGATGACTTTGGTGCATAGTTATCCATTTTTGGATTAGTAAACTGTGCCTTCTTCGTCAACCTATATGGAATCTGACATCCAAATAAACAACAAAAAGCCTCCTTATCTTTGAATGTAATAAACAAGGAAAAAAACAATATGTTGCACTTTTCTAAGTTGATATGATCTGGGCAAGCTAACTACTTCCCCTTTGTGTCCAAACAAGGAATGGAGCTTATAACAAACTGTGTCAGCATGACATTCAAGATAAGTATGCAGGCGAGAGAGAAACTAACGAGCATCAGGGCAGCCCGGCTGGATATTGAGTTTGAGCCACGCTTTCGAGACCTATCCATTCTATTCCTCAGAAATGTGACCGCAGAACTACACACGTCCATTACTTTCTCCAAACGAACATCAGAAAATGAAACTCCAAAGGCAGCATGTCCAGTAGCAACAGTTGTGTCAGCACCAAGAGTTTCAGGCTGCGTATTTGGAGAATGATCAGACTGAACTTTGCTAAGTTTTACACCAACAGGAAGAGCGACGATATCAAGCTTATCATTTTTACTGCTTCCACTTGCCATCGCACGCTGTTTAGCCCACAATTGTGCAATATCAAAACCAGGGGAGTTACTCAAGAAACGATGTTCCTGCTGTGAAACTAAATGCTCTGTCAATGAAACTTAAGTTAGAAAAGCACATGCAAACAAAACAAAGGACGTGGTGCACACAAACAATTTTACCTATGTTATCATCTTTGCTCATTTCTCCAGTAACTGTCAAATTACCTTCCAGAGATTCTGGCTTTATTCTCTCATTCCTGTCATTACTCTCTCTAAGACAGAATTGCAGTGGACATGCTTGGTCATAACAATAATTTTTTTTAAAAAAAGGAACTAGCTTTCCTGGGACAAAAGGAAAGAAGCCAAGTCCGTAAGTTACCTCACAGATTCCAAATCCTCAAATTCTTCAGGAAATAATTTGGAAACAGTAGCATCAGATGACCAATTAGCAAGTTGTGAGAATTTGTCTTGTTCTACAGAATTAGATCTGTTGTCAGGCAGTTGATTAAAGGAATGCTTCGACCTAATTTGTTTCTGCTCAGGGATATCTCCTCCCATAAGAGAGGATATAAAAGGAAAATACAAGGCCAAATTTGAAAGAAAGCCCTCTTGTACTGTGGAAACACTTTCATCATAGGGGTTTCTGTAAAAAAAAATATTGCAGCACATAATCAACCACTAATATCAACAATTGTCACCAATGGGTGAGTAAAGAAAAACTGTATAAGTTAATTTTCTATGCATAATACATAACAGTATATCTGACCTAGCACAAATTCAAATCTCATCATTGAGTAAAATGTAGTAATATTTGCGCAGCTATTTTTTAGACTACATATGCTGCTAGACTAGTCTATAGTGATATTTATTAACACTACCTCTGGCACTGGGTCTGCCCCTTTTTTTAAAAAAAAATCACATAAAAAGCTGAAATCCGTAACATCATGAGACCACATCAGAAAGAAATGAGAGTCACACTCTATTTTTTGCACATATCTGTTTAAATATAGAAAGTACCAACTGATGAAAAAAGTAATCAATTAATGGTTCTTTCAAATATACCCTTATTCAAGAAAACAATGAGAAATTGAAGGTCCTCCAATAAAATGGCAGGATGATCTTTTAACCATGAAAAGTGGAAAAGGCATCAGATACCACAACTATAAAGACTTCACTAAGGGCCTGTTTGGATCCCCACATCTAAAGTTTAGAGCTCTAAAAACTTTAGAGCACTTTAGCTCACTTTTGAGGTCTAAAGCTCTAATGTGAGGTGGGCTAAAGTTTAGAGCTAACTTTAGACCCTTGTTTGGAGCTTTAGCTCTAAAGTTTAGAGGGGAGAATCCAAACAGGACCTAAAAGTGATAAAGATTGCACCATAGTAGTTATGTGAACTGTGAGAAAGTATATAACACTACCCAGCAAAATAGATGAGAGTCTCAGAGTAAGAATGTGATGAGAAATGGGAAGGGAATAGCTTAATATACTACCATGTCATACAAGGGGTAAGAAACTCATGCTCATGTCTGCTAAAAGTGTTTTACTAAAAAACACACTGCTGTACATTTATCTCAAGATCACAGGTTCAGTTTGTAATTCATATATCAATCAGATAGTCAACACATGCAATACAACTCAAAGATTTAGCCCTGCTTGATTATCCTTGGCTTGGAAGATTTACTTAACAAAATACGAGATGATATAAAGCATACATTAAAGTCGTGGACTATGATTAAGGAATGATAAATGAAAAGGTTCATTGAAAATCAGGCCGGTTATTTAAATTTGCTGCATCAGCTGCTATGCGATGACTTACCGGATAGTTAGAAGAGAAACTACTATCAGTTTTGGCTCTATATCAGGTTCAGAATTTCTCGAAAATATAATATCTTTGGTGAACCCAGTAACTCGACGAAAGATGTGCAAAATGGAGATCATGTCATTTTCAGACAACACCCGAGCAGTTGTAAGGGAGAGGAAAACCACATTGTTCAAGTCCTACACAAAAATGATATATAAACAAATCAGTACAGTCAAAATATAAGCAGCACAAAGATTTCATGGCTACAAATTTCCACAGATATACAAGTTGCATTGATGCATATGTAGAGTAGATTTTGGCCTTTTTGCACAGGCACCCTTTAAGTCAGGATGCCAAAACATAAACTAATTTCCTTTTTCCTTTTAACATTTCGTATAGAATATAGAATAAACACATTAAAAGTTACAAAAAAAAGAAAATCAATTCCACCTTTATGCCACCACGAAGAAATGGACAGTGGAAGACAGCCTGCTTAATTGCTGACTGGATGTTATAACCAGCACCAAAGCCAACTCTAGCTTCCCCATAGCTTCTGAGTAGCTGTTAAGCTGTAGACTGTAAGGATCATTTAAGAAAAGCTATTGTCAAGATGATGGAACTTAATAGTAAGGAAATATCTTAATTACCTTGGCTACTTCCTCAGGACCGACTTCCTTAATTTGTGCATTAAGGGAACTCCAGAACATTTTATTGTAACCCTGATATTTAGAGAAGAATGGGATGAAAAGGTAGAGTGCAATATTTCAAATCAAACCACAGCATAGAAGGATTTAAGACTCACAGACATCATGATAGATATCATGCTAATAATTGACAGGACAGCATTATTGGCACTTTCCAAAGCTTCAGCAAGAGTTTCCACTTCCGTCTCAAGCAATGAATCAGCTTCAATAACTGTGAAAGTATAGATGAAACTGTAATTTTTTAGACTACAAGTTGTTTTTGGATGTGGCTAACTACAATAATGTTAATATTGCATGGAGAACAAACAGAACTAGACCACAAGATTCCAGAATAAATTGATACATTGAGTATATATACCAATCATCATTCATCAATATCCAAAGAAGAGTTATTATATTACTGAAAGGACAAAAATCACTTAGCCTGTCATAATGAATAGTTTTACCATCTCATTGTAAAACTTAAGTTTAGCATGTCAAGCAGCATCCCTTTTCTTCTTATCATCATCTCAACCTTTGGTGGGACATATGCGCACCAGGGCCTACAAACTTACGATCCAGGAATCGGGACTCGGGAGCATAAGGCACAACTAGTGAAATATCAGTCCTTAGTATAGGTTAATTATGAAGGAAGCAGTGTAAAGCCCAAATAGGACAGAGTGAGAAAAGCTTTTATTAATCTTTTTTACTCTCTCATGCCATAGTGCAAAACATTAATGCATGGCTGTAAAAGGTAGGCTAGAAATGTGTTACCAATATGAAAGTTTGAGCACGTTTGAAGTTTGCCAATCAAATCAGCTGCCTGCAGAAGACGAAATTAATAGTAAATTATAAGAACTTATGCATCTTTTAAGCAACCTACACACACAAAGTTCACTGTTCACGGAAAAGAAGAAAAATTACTGCAGAAGTTTTTTTACCTCTACTTGCCTTCTTTGTCCCTCAAAGCAGAAGGGCTTCAAAAATATTGATGCAGCCAGATTACCAGCAGATTTGACAGCGCTAAGAAGCTCCATTGCAGTAATATGATCAGCATCTTGTCCCACACTAGAAACCTAAATTTAAAAGTCATAGCAAAATATGCGGTCAGATCTCAGTCCCAAATGACGAAAATCAATTGTAGCATGTGTTTCATTAACATTATACAACAGAGTGGTAAGGGATATAGCACAATATCTAAGCACACTCAATATCCTACGGCCAAACAGTATGAGAGCAACATATGGTGTCAAAAAGAAAGATGAGAAGTGCACAAACAAGAATAACCGCAGGTGGGCACAGACGAAGAAATAAGGGAGGTTCCAAGTCTCTGAACACTGCATCTGAAAAACAGAGAGATGTCAGTTTCATGCTAAAGATAGTAGATAGAGAATGAAAACCACAAAACCATGTACGCATAAAAAACGTTGAATCAACTCAAGAAGTTGAGTCCATGAAAGATGCAGTACCAGTTCCATGACCTTTTTGTATTAACTGAACTTTAGAATTATCAATCACATGTACTGTCCTGAAACAAAATTCAGAGATGGTTCAAATTTTTTTAAAGAATAAAACAAGAAGATAAATGCAAAAACAACCAAGAGTAGCAAACATGCACTTCATTTGAAAATGCAAAGCTTATACTCAACAAAATAAGGGATCTGTCCTAGCAGATTAATCTTCTTATGTGTCAATGGGTAATCATAGCTATATAATCAAAGAGATATTAATACAGAGAAATTGCACAGTACACTGAATTTGTTGTGAAAATAGATGGATCAATGTACTCTTTCAAGAATTCGTTACATTGAATTAGGAAATGCAAGTACATCAAGCGACAAGGTACAAGATGCAGTCCTTAATTAGCTCACGAATTAACATATTAGTATCCAAATATTTCATGCTTCTGTTTCACACTTTAGAAGTATTTACTATTTAGTGCACAGGAGACAACTCTAACTCCTACTGCAGTCTGCACTCTGCAGAATTGTAAAGGAACCAATGTTCCACCACACTAAATAGTGTGTAAGAATGCACTAGGAAATGGGCCATGGGTTAGTTCACTAAGGCATTTGCTTGCAATTTCGGTGATTCCATCAAAGAAAAAAGGTTACCATATGCTGCAGGAAGGTTCTTTGTACTATGACTACAAAAAAAAAAAAACAATTAAATCTCATAAACAACTCCCTGCTCTCCCCAATATTAATCTGGTAAGCAGAAAATCTTAAAATTCACAATGTCGAATAACATGTTAGGTTAATACTTGGTGAAGTAATGATTATAGTAACAAAAAAACTGATGGTGAGCAAAAATCACCAAAATCACAGCAGGGTAATAAGTAATATTACGCCACTCTGTTTGGCCGAAGGCACTACGGGAAGGCAAATTGCAAACTACATATTTCCAAAAAAATATTGTAGCATCATGGACGAACACACATTGATGATTCCACGTTAAATTTCACCGGTGGAAATCAAAGTCAGACACCAAATTAACTTCGGCAATTGATCAATTCGCTAGATGGGGATCCAATTCTACAAATCACGAGTCCCCTGAACAACACTGGGCACGCCAAGGTGGTCTGAAGGCCAAAAACGAGGTCCGCATCGCGTACACCGCCAGACAATGCAGTGTTGGAGTTAGGAATTCGATGTCGGTTCCGTACCAGAAGCGGATGGGGGTGGAGGACAGCGTGCGTGAGCCCAGGCAGAAGTCGATGACGGCGTCCTTCCGGCTGCCTACGCCGACCACCTCCACGGGCTCCGTCGCCCGCGAAGCACCCTCCGCCGCCGCCGCCGCCGCGCGAACTCCGGGGGCGCGGCGCCGGCTGCAGCTGCTTCGGCCCCGCAAGGACATGCGGGGGTACGCGACGGGCGACGGGAGCGGGAGGGCCCGGACGGGAGCCGCCATTGGCGACGAGAGTGTGTAGGCCCTAGGCGGCACGGGCAGTGAACGAGACTGTGACTGTGAGAGGGAGGAAGCCGCGGTTTAACGGCATCTTGCCGTCAGCTACTGCCGCCGGTGGCAGAGAACTGAGAGAAGTGCGACTTGGAGCTGGGCTGGGCCTACATGAGAGTCCAGTGAGTGAGGAGCCCATATTTCCCAAATATTTCAATTTAGGCCTCGCAGACTCGTCTTGAATAAGCTCGGTGATAAATAATACGAGTTGAAAAATATTTTTATCGATCATTATATATACACAGAGTACAGTATAAACATAGATATTCTCTTATATAGATAGACCAAAGTATAACTCATTGTTCACCGAGGCTTTCATATAACATTTGTAACTCAACTTTTGTTCATAACTATCAGCAAACAAAACTCATGATAACAATTTCACTTTGTGTTCTATATAACGCTTTTAACCCAACATTTGTTTATAACTGCAAGTGGACAAATTTAGCATAAAAAATGGTCAACATAAATTTCCTACCGTAACTTTTATATAATAAAATTTTACAAATTCCGTAACTTATACAGATAAATTTTCGTTGTTCAACATCTTTCAAAAAAGTTATACATAACTTATCTGGTACAATATATTTACTTAATTTGTTTTAGACAACTTCTCAACTAAAAAAACTGTTTATAATATATAGAATGGGTAGGTTGATGTCTATAGCCTAGTTGTTACAAGAGCCTTGGTAATACCTGATGTCCTAGGTTCGAATCCTCGTGGAACGAATATTCCAGGATTTAACGGCTTTGTGCTTTCAGAGGTAGCTGACGTTCTCGTAGACAACGAGACGCCTGTGGTGACTTTGTCAATCTCGTCTCGAAGATTTGCCAAGCCAGTCTTCGAAGGTGATCATAAGGGTATGATTTGCGTGCGTGGGTTTATAGGGGTGAGTGTGCGTATATTGTGAACGTCTGCGTTGTACTATATAATTAAAAGAAAAGAAAAGAAGAAAACTGAAAGAAAAAAAAATTGAGCAAGAAAACTGGGACTGCCCTAATACCATGGCCTCACGGATGATCTGCTAAATGGAATTAGAGAGCATAGCTTGCGGTGTGTTTTGGAAAGAAAAAGAGAGTCGAGTAGAGAGTATTGTAATAAGAAACGAAAAAAATAAGGCCTACTATAGGAATAGCATAGACCGTGGAACTGGACTGTGAATCTTATTGTATAGATGCATTGTAATTTTGTACCCACACTACACCTATCAAATACAATATCCGTGGTTATCCACACCCACAGCCACACACCTATCGAATGTAATATCCGTGGTTATCCACACCCACAAGTAGAATTCCCATCCTGAGTCTCAAGCCCCTCCTTCATAGGGTGGTAACCGTGAAAGGTGGATGCAACCAGACCTAAGATGAAGGAAAATAATTTCTCTAAGAAATTTTTATTTTTTAAATTCACCCTAAAGAGGATGTGATATAGCAATTTTACATGGTAAGCTTGTCGGTGTACGATACCTGTATAAAATACACCATGTAAGTATAGTCAAACATGTCACCATACTCGTCGCCATAATAGTTACTCTGCATATACTCGTCACCATGTTTCAAGCATATCACTTTGATCATCATTCACCAAAGCTCTCGTAGGGTCTTAGTCGCCCTGTATGATCAAATAATGTCTAGTAGATTAGGTAATGTACAAATATTCAAATATTAGTGGGTGGTGTGTGGGGGTGGGGGTTGAACGCAAAGGTTGTAAACCGCTACCCTGGCCAGAGTCTATCATCATCATCACAATGACACTAGAGGTAATCCTAACCTTAATTATAGTAGTTTCCATAGATGCTCACATCTATAGTAGATCATTCATAAAAACTTTAGGACACAATTTCTTCACGTGGATCTGTTGTTAATTCTTGTCACTAATTTTGTCCCTCTAGTTCTATCTAGCACTAGAATACAATCGGTATGGCAGGACAGCGCATGCGGTCTGAGCGTTGCGGCACATTGGCAAGCAATGACGTATAGGCGCAGCAGTCCCATTGTGGGACCCACCTAAGAAGAAACGGCTTGTTTCCTTCCAACATGAAAAGTATCATTTCCACCGTCTTGGACGCTGAGTCACCTTTGTTTTTCAGTTGAAAACCCGTTTCCACTATTTTTCTCTCTTTCTTCTTTTTTTCGAAGGAATGGGGACTTCTATTAATTTTTGGTACAGTAATTGGATTGCCACATCAACTTTTTGTTTAGCCGTCTTATCATTTAACTCTATATAAACGGTTCTTTTTCTAAGTTAGAACTGCCCTAACAAACATGCCTAACTCTAAACATGACATCGACGTTAATTTCACAAGTTGTTTCACATAGGTGACCTTGAGTGGTCCTTGTGGACAAACTGTAGACACCTACAGTGACTCGCAAGAAGTGTCCACGAATACACATCCAACGCACAAGAGATTTATAGTTTGCATTTTTAACTATTCATCCCAAATTTAAGCAACAGTCCCCCACGATTGCTTCACGAGAACTGTTCACTGAATTTTTTTTCCCCAATGTTAGATTAGTCCCAATTTGTACTTTCGTGAACTATTTATACATAGTACAAACTCCAATGTTAAACAAGTCCCATTTTTAAGGTACTTTCACAAGGTTCTGTCTAATTTTCGCCTACACTGCTTGCAATCAGACCACTCTCGCATCATAGAACTGGAACTCCCGGGCACCATGCCACCGTGAGAACTGACATCCAGAGACCTGGTTAAGGAGACGAGTGAAGCTCACTTCATTTAGGACTTCAATAGCTAGAGATGAATGCAACAGGGCGATCAACAGGTTTCCTGCCAAGCATCACACAAACCGACATTTTTACCAAAATGTACAGGACTTAGAACCAGAGTGCAGCAAAACCAAAGCATTCAGAAGCCGCCGGTATATTCCAGAGACCTGGTTAAGGAGACGAGTGAAGCTCACTTCATTTAGGACTTCAATAGCTAGAGATGAATGCAACAGGGCATAACAACATCGATCAACAGGTTTCCTGCCAAGCATCACACAAACCGACATATTTACCAAAAAGTACAGGATTTAGAACCAGAGTGCAGCAAAACCAAAGCATTCAGAAGCGGCCGGTATATCCATATAACAAACCCAACCAGTACCCACTGTCCACTGGGGCTTGTTTGATGTTTAACGATGTATTATTGTCAAAGTTTCACCACTCACCCCCTCATTATTAAAAAAAAAGGGTGTACCCAGGTCAGGAGAGAGCTCGCTCCTGCGGGGGGTCCGAGGAAGGTGCCAAATGGCAAGCCTTACCTCGCTTTGTCAATAATGCGAGGAGACCGCGACTCGAACCCGGGACCTTCCGGTCACAGGCGGTAAGACTCTACCGCTTGCACCAGGCCCACCCTTCACTCACCCCCTCATTATTATTCTCTCCAATCTTCCATCAACTCAAGCTGAGCAATCAAGGTGAAACAAAAAAGTAAAATCCAAATGGTATATGTGAAATCTAGAAACCGGCGGGGCGGGCGCACACCCTGCGCTGGATGGGGGTCCGACATGAAGGGCATTCCTTCATCCCTTGCTTCTCATGGAGGTTGCTGCATTTGGCACAGACGACCTGGTGGGCACAAGGGAGGAACACCACGGACATCTCCTCACTCAAGCACATGACACACTCCCGGTCGCGCTGTATATCATCAAAATCGAGATCTTGGGGTACTGCTATGTTGGACAAAATTTGGGCATTGCTGTTCTTTCTCCCTTCAGAAAGATGCAATGCATAGGTTTTATTGTCAGTTCCCCACTTGGGGGCAGCAACCTTTGAAGAGTCCAAGGACACCTTCAGTTGTGCAATATGCTGCTCAAGAGCACGGATCTCACTCTTGTATCTTTGTGCGTCATTCGCTGCTTTAAGATGCAGCAAATTCTCTTCTGACCTCATGGAGGTCTCAATTTGCTCCCTCTCTTTCCTCTCTGAGGTTACAAGGGCAATTGCCTCAACCTTTCCAGCCTCCTCTTGTTTCCACCTTGCCTGCAAGTATTCAAAATCATAGAGAAGACCAAAGATGTGAATATGTGATGATATATAGTGAAGGCAGGTTATAAAGTAAATAGGTGAGGTCGAGGGAATCGAATTAAACCGAACTAAGTAGATATAGCAAGTAGCAACCTTATAACACTAACAAGACTTTATACAAGTGGTATACACAGGATTAATCATCGGCTCATAGCTCAACTCAACATGGCAAGCACAATCAATTCGAATTGAATTAAAAAAGAGAGATCCATGAAGCACAATCGGCACACATTTCCTGTCTTTTTAAAGTCTCTAGAAGGAATAACAATCTTGGTCATTAATGAACCTTGTAAAAGGATGGTATAGAACACCTCAAGCCAGGTTTACTAGCAGTCTGCGCTAAGCCAGCTTCTCTACTATTATTCACTGCCTTGCTAATCTAAAAAAGTACTGAGTTATTTTCTGTATCTTCGTAATTTCCATCCCAACATCTGAAAGATACGAGATATAAGGAAGGTTTTCAGTACATGCCAAACTCGACAAATGGTCAGAGAAACCATAGAGGTGCTATGGAATGGAGACAATGGCGTAGTTTCATCTGTTTAAACTATGAAATTTACCAGATATCATATACAAATAGTAAAATAAGCAATATTGTCTCAACTTTATCTAATGCTGTAAACAGTTGACAAGTAGCTAGTAATTAAGTGCAAATGCCATATCAAGCTCCGAACTTCTTCCAGAAACTTCTTCATACAAAAGTTTGCAGCTTACTCATGAAATACTAAGTATGCTTAGAGCAGTCATAGCTAGGACAGCCAGTTATCTACCATGTATTCCGTAAGCTTCTCAACAGCCCCAATCCCTTCAGTTGCGAGAACACACAAAAAAAAAAAGTGTGAAATGAAACCTTACTAACACAATCACAACGTGTACATGCTATAAACAAGCCACAAAAACATCATTATCTATTACG